CTACTACTACTACTACGACGATTATTAGTAGTGCTATCATTCTTGTAATTCTTATAAGTATTATCACCAGTACTGTTATTTTTCCTTTCTAATTTTTGGTATTGTTACAACATTGTTCTCGCATGAAAGTTGTGCTCTTGCGTGAGCGTCGTCGTATTCTGCCTCAAAATCGGGCTTTCGTGTGAAGCGTCCACGCATGCCTCAGGATCGCGCTCTCATGTGAGGCGTCCTCGATTCCAGGCCCCCCAGCCCAAAAAAAATAAAAGAAAAGGTCACCAACAAAAAACAGTACAAACAACGTCAACACCAAACAACTTGTGCAAATTGAAATTTAGCGCTTTTATCAGTCACAAGCTCAGATTGCTGTTGGTGATGCCGGCATGCATATACAGATTTGTCATGTTTTGTCGGCCCTGATGGCAGACAAAGGGCTCTGCTGCAGCTCCCATAATGCCGATAAATGCTGCCGCCCATCTTACTGTAGTGCGGTTGCCCTCCGGGCAAAGCAAGTAGGATTGAACGGCGTGCAGCCCAGCACACATCAGCAGGGTTCAGACCGGATAGCCGTTACTTGGGGCGCAGTCTACGAGCTGGAAGGGGGAGTGAGATGTATCGTCGCAAGCTGCCTGAGATTCGCAAGTCTGGTCGTGCAGCTTGCAGCCTGTGCAGGATTTCGGGCAGTTGCGGCTCCGCCAGGCCGTCCAGCTTTTGCGGGAGAGATGTGCAATCAATCTGATTGAACCAAACAAAGGCTAGGAGACCCGCAAATCAGAATAGCTTCCGAGGCAGTCTTTCTGCAAGTTTTCTGCATAAGTTCTTGGCCCAAGAGTCCTTGCCCTAAATCCAAACTCCTCAGGCTTGCACTACCTGCATGACCTGAAAAGGTGTGAATAAATGCAAGACAATCTTCCGCGGCAATCCGGCGACGTATCACACCATGCGGAATAAGGGCATTCAACTGGCATTGCACAGTCGGAAATGTCAAGCAGATCAGTTGCATGGTGAACTTTCATGAGGCTCCTCCATTGAGTTCAGCGACAGTTCAGTTGTCGGCTCAGCTGTTTTTTGCAGCAGTGGTAGCATTCATGGACGTGAAACCGCGACTTCGATCCAGGGCAGCGCTTCCGGAACAAGAACCTTCCTGCCGTATCCTGATGCATCTGCTGATGCGGTGCTGCTGTGCCTTCCCCTGCATATCGGGCATGCTGATGATGCAAGCTTTTGCAGTGTCAAAGGGCTGAGAGCCAATTGCTGCTCAGGACTCCAATAAGTCCAGGACTTAATTTCAGTGACGAGACTTGGCAGCTTGGGATACTGCAGGGCGACTGGCTGCAACTTGCAAAGTTCCACGCGAGGTGATGGAGCTGTGATACGAGGCCACCGTGCAGGTCACGATGACATGACATGGTAGAAGTGGGCCTATGGTGCAGTGTAGCCTTTCCGAGCACAAAATTCAAATGCGATTTCGGGAGGCGCTTTAGGGTGTGACCAGGCAAATCGAAATTGATGCAAGCAAACATTTCGATAAAAGGCTGCTGCTGCCAATTTCGGCCTGGACACGTACGGGCATAGCTCTGCTCTATGTACTTGTTCCTGCTGAAAGGGGATGAGAATTGAGTCAAATTGGCGTCCCAAAGGTTAGTTGTTACAGAGCACATGTTTTCCCTTGGTTGCGTGGGCACTGCAGCTCGCAGATTCCTGCGCCCACACCGACGAAAAAGACATCAAGGAGCAATGTGAAACGCCAAGGCTCCATTAGCAGCCAAAAAGCCACTCGCCGAAAAAACCACGTCGATGGAGGCTCTAAGGGCCTCCATATGAATCTCTAATTTGTCAGGTCCAGGCCTCATTCGTGCAGATTCGTGAACATTTTGGGGGACATGAGTTGCGGAGACCCTAAGCCCAAGTTGCAGAGGACCAAGCCATAAGCTATGCAAAATGCACTGAGATTGATCACAACCTACGGTATATGCAGCACATGCTAGTGACCATTCAGACGCCCCAGGTTGCAGTTCATGCGTCCCACAGGCTCCAGTGTAAGGAGCGTCAGTTATGATTCCCAGCCTTCATTCGGTTGCGTTGTCCTATCTCTTGCATGCGGTGTCGCATCCGAGCCCCTGCAGCATCCTGCAGCAAGTCACCGCAAACCTCAGAATCTTTGGGCGGAGGCGCAGGTGCTGCTCCCGTATCAGCCGTGGGATGCTCAGTGTTTGGGATGTTCAGAAATTTTTCTGATCCGATGAGTGAAGCAGTTTGAAGCTCATACATTTCAGCGCAGGTCGAATCGGCTGTGGGCGAGGAATGCCATCGTGTCAATGCTAGCTTTGCGCCGTCTGCTGCGGGACCTGAGTTTATGACCCAGGCGCCAGCGATTTCATGCATGAATTATGCGTGAGAAGCATGTGAAGACTTATTGATGAGGAGCTTGACGAAGATGAACTGGCAGAGAGGGTGAAGCAGAAAGTCCATGATCACCAGTGGGGGATTGACGAGGTGGGAATAGCATTTTCATATGCGCAGGTCGGACCCGAACGTTGGTGCAAAGTTGCACGTTCTGCATTGAAATCGGCCGCTGAAGCCATGCGAAGATTGCTACGCAGATCCTGGAAAGTGTTGGAGCCGATGTGGACTTCGAACGTGAAGGTAGTGCTTGTCTCAAAGTTGATTGGCAGCCATGGCATCACGTCTCTTTGGTACGAGTGGAGCCCAACCGGTCGCCCATTTGCAAAAACCCGTTCCAAGGTCCGATGGCCCGTTGGCTTCTGGGTCGTACATGTGGCAGCGCGCTTAATTTTTGCCACGCGTTGATGGTGATGATGGCGCTCCTATGAGTGGTGTGCTAGATGGGGTACTAGATTCCCCGTAACAGAGCAAGCATTTGCTCATTAGAAGCTCTTAATTAATTGATCAAAGACTTGGCCTGCTCAGTTGCTGCATGCTTTTTCCCCCAATGTGCAAGAGGTGTTCAGCGGGTCCACATTGTTGTTGCCTTGGGCTACGTGGCTTCACCAGTTGCGGAGTTCTTGACGTTCATTTCAGCCACAGAGTGCGACCCTCAAAAGTCACAGTGGAAAGGCCTGTTGAGCCTGTTTGTATGAAAATTGTGGATGTCTTGAGCCAGAGCGGAAATGTGTGGAGCAGGTGGGGTCTGAGGGGCGGGGAGACTGTGCCACGGTTCGCCTGAAGCTCAGCTTTTGCATGGTACTTGGCTTGATGGCCCTGGCGTTTCTTCAATCCTTCTCACATGGGACATCTCCCGGTGTGTCAGTGCAAGAAAGCGGACTGAACTTGCTTGCATGCTGTGACGAAACTGGCGTCTCTGAAGGATACTCGTGAGGAGCCTGAAGCGAATCCGCCTTGCCTGGCCAGACCACGAGCCTTGAAATTCGAGTTCGCCCGCTACGGGTAGTGGGGTTAAGTAGTTCTGCGTTGTGCGAAGTCCTCCCGCAAGCGCGCCACTTGGGGACTCTCATCTACGGCCATGGCCTTGTGAACATCTGAATTACTGTTTGTGTAACTTGCATGCACGTGTGCTTTGGGCTTGCTGTTTCCAAACATAGTTGTAGCAGCATCTGTGCTAGAGCGATTTGTCGCTTTTCAAGTGTGTGCTTTTTAGCATTAGGGGGGCTTGGGCTAACGAAGATCCAGCCAGTCACGAAAGCTCCTTGGAGGGATCTTTGTTGTTTAGTACCTCACGGAGTGAGCCTAGGGTCGTGGGGGGGGTTGGGGGGGGGAGGGTGGGGGGATCTTGGGGGGTCTTGGGGTGATCTTGGGGGGATCTTGGGTGGATCTTGGGGGTTCTTGGGGGGTGTTTTTTAAGGAAGCTTTTGGCGGGAGTGTCCATTGTTGAGCTTTCGTCCCAGCCTGTGGCTCTCAAGTGCGCCGTCAAAACGCACCTGCTGCAAGATGCACATGCGCCAGGCTTGCGCCTGGACTCTGCCGGGTACTGTAGCTGGTGGGGCCATCACATCATGTCACAATGCGGCACGAATTACTCCATTTTGACCAGCAGCAGCGTTGGATATCGCGGAGCTTTTTTGCTAGCGGGTACCCTCCAAGAGAGCCTCCAGGATCTTGTCCTTAGCGGCCCATGCCAGACGCCCGTGAGTAGCACAGTCCTCCTCGCGAAGCTCGGCTACAGCCTCGAACCAGCCAATAGACTCCAGCTAATGGACTTCGTTATCGACTCGGGGACCGAGCGCCCACGTTGCTCGTTCTTTCGCATTAGCTCGACCAGATCGGTCTGCCAAGCGGCCACTGGTTCCTGGCCTCTTGCCACTAAGTTCGCTGGGTCCAGGATATTCCAGAGTGCTACCTCCTGCTAGGGTTGCAAGTATTGGTACTCAGAAGTGCCAGGCAAGACAGGGACATGTACGAATCCCCAAGCCCCAACCTCCTAAACCCACCATCCATGGAGTCTGCAAAGCAAAGCGTCATGCAGTGGGGCTGGACCTCCACCCCAATTCAAGCGGAGCGTCATGTTCATCAAATTTACAAGTATCCCATTCTTAGTGTCTGACATACCTATGGAATGAAGCCTTCATTTACCATCGCTTGTTAGAGTCTTTCGTCATCAGCACCATCAACTACTTCATCAAACTTTGAGTGCAATCTGCTTTGCAGTTCAGACTTTCCAAGTGTGTGTAAGTGGATGCCCGAAAATGCAACATGCCATGGTGACTCCCATGGGAAAACAGCATGGTATAAGGTCTCTTTGGTCTATTTCACCAAGAAGTCACTTGCCACGGTCCGATTTGGGTTGTCACAAAACCTGATTTGGACCGCGTGTACATTCCTTCCATGTTCCGGGAGTTACAAGCATGCGCAACCTAGTACGTCGAGTAATTGGATTGCTTAATCTGCGTCAGTGGGCAAGGGAAGGGCTGGATATGGAACATGATTGCCCTCAAAGTGTCCTGCCTTGGCCCTGGCTTTTGGTCGCATCGCTTGAAGTTGAGTCCGTGATTCGACTTCGTCCTTTTTCCACTTCGCACTCTTTGACAAGCTTCTCGATTATCTGGGGGGATTGTCAGAGATCTGACTCTAAGGAACGACGTAGGAGGCTATAGTTAGGGTTCGAAAGTCTCGGCTCCGATGCAGGGGATGGTCCTGGCATTTTATGTCCAAGTTGAAAATTAAGCGTTGGCTCTGCGATCTTCTCTTCAAATCTTGCCAGGCCATAGAAATGAGATGATTCAACTTCATTTCTTTTGCTAGGAATTCTGAGTTCTGAGGGTTGGCTTCTTGTCTGTTAGCTCCGCGTGGGCCGCTCCGGCTCAAAAGAACCGGCTCGCAGCTCACACAACTTACGTGTAGTGAGAGCGCAATTCATCACTTCACATCGACGCGTCCAAAATGTTTGCGCGACGGAAGAGCACACTGCGGGTGCCGGGCGACGCACATCGAAATAACTAGAACCCCACACTAGATGTGGGGAACAATCCATAGCAGCAAGAACATCAGCATTAGGGTCCTGTTTGGGGTTACGGTTGGGAGAAGAGGACCTTCAAGTT